GTTGGGCTCGGACGCGGGGCGCGACACTCCAGGCCCCCGCCGCCGCCCGGCGTGGGCGGGCGGGTGGGCGGGATGCCCACTCGCGAAGGGGACCCCGCCAGCAGGTCCGGCGCGGAGGGCGAGCGCGGCGGCGAGCCCGGGCGCGGGGGGCGGGCCGTCGGCGCGGCGCGCGGGGCGCCTGCCGACGAGCCGCGCTCCCTGCCCTCCGCGCTGTGAGCCGCGCTGGCCTCCAGCGCCACGCTCGACCTGTTCGATGCAGTCGATGGGGCGTCGGTGAGGCAAAGGGTATGCCGGGGGTGGCTGCGATCAAGGCTTATGGTTCCCTAAAACTCGATCCCTCTTGCCCCCTGGCCCCTGCCTGTCCACGCCGCACTCCGCACAAGCCTGAAGGGAATGGCACATGCATGGGCAGGGCTGGGACCACCCCTCACACACTCGAGAAAGAAAAAGGTTCCCACATGAGGCGCTGCTCAAAGTCCCAGTTGCCGCGGGAGTGGGCCGATAGTGCCGCCTTGAGGACGGGGGTCTGGCCGTCGCGGGGCGGGGTGGACGCCGTCTTCTTCCCGGGCTGCGTGGCGGACAGCAGGACGTAGAGACCCTGGAAGGGGGGGGAGGGGGAAGAAAGGGGGAAATGAGGAGGTGATAGGGCAGGACAAGATCCGTGCACGCATTCTCAGGAGAGGGCGAGTGGGGCGAGGGCAGCCAGCCGGAAACAATCGGTCATCGGGCGGCGCCTGACGATGAGCCGACGCCATGTCGAGAGAGGGGTTGATAACAGGACATCACTCCACACAAACCCAGTCCAGCAAGAAGCCGGGGTGCCTCCACGGGCGGTGGCGCGCACCTTGTTCACGTGGCTGCCGGTGGGGCGGCGGTGGAGGGGTTGATGGGGGAGGAAGTGAGGAAGGCTTCCACCATTGATTGAGGGCTCTGCCCCATGACACCAAGCAGCCTGGCCCCAACCACTCAGCCACTGGACCCTGACGCATACAGAGAATGGCACATTCGGACCCCTCCCACAACAGCTGCACTCACTAGGGGTGGCAGAACATCATGAGCGGGCGCAGGACCACCGCCGCCAGCAGTTCGGAGGTCACGGTGAAGCTGGGGCAGCGGGTGGGGATGTCCTTGGGGTCCAGGAGCAGGCGCGCAATCCCACGGGAGACGGCGCGCAGCATCTGCGGTGGTCATTTTTTGGGGGGGTGACGGGCGGCTTAGCCTTTGTGGGGTCCCTGCAGCCCAGACCCCCTGTAGCCCAGTACCCATGCCGCTCAGTCTGCAGGGACCGCATCCGGGCCTTGGTCTCCCGAAGCAGGGCCCCCCCGCCCCCCCCCCCCACGGCATGCCTGTCGACCCACACAAATGCCCATGGCCCCTGCAGAGAGCCTCGAACGAGTCGATCCAGCGCCCGCGGCGCACCCACCAGGTAGTGCCCCTGCGGGCTGTGCATGGCTGGGTGCAGGTTGTTCTCCGCCTTCATCTCCCTCTGGAAGGCGCGCTCGCGGGCGGCGGGCTGCATGTCCTTCAGGGCCAGGCCGCACCGGGCGGCCAGCTGGATGGACTCCCGAGTGTCGCGATACAGGTCAATCTGCAGAGGGGGAGGTGCATGTCCTTCAGGGCCAGGCCGCACCGGGCGGCCAGCTGGATGGACTCCCGAGTGTCGCGATACAGGTCAATCTGCAGAGGGGGAGGGGTGGGAGCCCAAAAGGTGGGGGGTGATGGGGGGGGAAGGGAAGGGGGGAAACGGCACACAAACACCTTACCCCACCCCTCCACATCCGTGGGCCTTGAGGGATCCTCAGTCGTGAAGACAGGGGACAGGGGTCCCAACCAAACAGCGACAGGATGCAATGCAGAACGAGGGTTCCGCCGAGGTGCGGCCCTGGCAGCCCCTGTCAACCACAGAAGTGTGCGGAGCTCCCTCCCGCCGCCCTCCCTCCCTCCAAGGGTACCTGCTCCATGAGCAGCTCAGACAGGTCGTTCAGCACGGCACGCAGGTCGGCCCGCCGCGAGCGCGCGGCCAGCTTTCCAAAGGCGTCGTTCAG